ATGAACACTATACAGAAGCCTGATGATGGCAGATGAGATTCTGCTGAAACGTCGCTACAACTTTAAAGCACAACTACAATGACGTGGGAAAATACCCGAACAAAGCTGAATACCATATATATATATATAAATGTATTTAGTGTATTTAACTCCAAACATTTAAATGTTCAGCTTAACAGTTCAAGCAAAAAGGGCCATGCCCCGTAAGGTTTCAGACAGTGTAAAAATGGTCTTTTTTGGACCATAATAGGTGATTTACCAAAGCGGTAACTTTAAGTCTTCAGTACAAATAAAAAGTATGAGCAATCCCAAGTGTATGTTAAATAACTAAACATCACTAAAACATCTGAAGTTGTCCCAATTACCGTAACTATTTTCTCCAGCTAAGTAATGCTTGCCATTAATTATCATTAGTCTTAAACTCACTCCAAAAGAACCAGTTAGAGTCTAAACTAAATCTTAATTATATGGAACATGCTGTTCAAAATACCAGGGTATATATACTCAGTGAATTAATTTTTAATACTCCTGGTTCAACTATGCAAAATCTATTTCAGTCCTCAATGTTGGTTAAAAAATATAAAACCTGACAACTCTATAAAACCTGACAACTGAAGCAACTTCTAACTGTGCTCTGCAAAGTATCTGTCATAACTCAATTTATATTTGACAAAATATTTATGATTTATGATTCAGTGATAATGGAGAGTCAAAATAAATAACAAGCAGCAGTTATTGTGCATACCATTTGCTTATTAATTTGAATATAGATATTGGTTTGGAGAAAATGTATGCATGAAGAAATAGAAAGCTGGAGATGAGACAGATGGGATATGAGAACAAAAGCAAAACATCCACTTGTAGGTGTGAACTGAAAGTGCTCATGGTAGGAGCTGTAGATTTCAGAGAAGAATGAATTGGGAAGTCTGACATGACAATTTTCTCTTTTTATTATCTATAGTTTATATTTAAAATAGATATTTTAAAATATTTAAAATATTCAGATTTCCTTTATCTAAAACCTTTGTCTGCTTTTCTGTACTACATCAAAATAGAACTTTTTGCCTATCCTTATGGGTAGAAAGTGAAGTTCTATTTTGATGCAATTAGGAAACAGAAAGTTGCAGTTCTGCTCTGCAGTACTTGCAAAGCGAAGTTCACTCACAGGACTGTCTTCAAGTTGGAGAAATCCTTTCTGGGGAACAGCTGGTCTTGCAATCAGCATCATTTTAATTTTTCACAAAAACCCTAGTGGAACTCCAGGGACATTTTTTTTGCTGGAAAGAAAGATATTGCAACTTGGCAGATTTGGCAGCTACCCAGTAATGCTGTATTACATTGACAATCCTGTATCCTGGAAACAATTCAGGATGTAAACATTTCAGATTCGTGAACTACCAAGTGACAGCCAGATATCCATATGTGGCAGCCTTCTTTGGAGTTGAAAATGAAAAGCAATTATTACGATATAAACGGCATGTTTGGCAAGAACTATAAGGGAATGGGACATGTCATTAATAGTCACAGAGAATAACACGCAGGTTGACAATCCTTGCCATGCTGAGAAAAATATTATTTAATAACAAAATATTTTAATATTATAGTGTTAGTCGTGGAAACAGCAGGAAATTAATTTCTGCTTTGCTTTTGTTTTTTGCTTGTATTTTTCTATCCACTCCTAGACAAGTTTGCTTAATATACAAATCCAAGGCATGTGGTGGATGAGCATTGTATTGGTTGATATCCTGCCAAACACTATTAGCTGATTGGATATTGAATTTTGTTGCCATAATCCTGGAAGACTCAGGGAGATATCAAAAGAGAGCTGTAGGTTGCTTATTTCAGGTTCAGAACTAGAGAATATGTCAATGGGCAGATAGCCACACTTCTTGAAAGTATATCCTACAGGAGCCAGTAAGGCTTATTTCTGAGTAGAGATAACAGGATATAATATGGTTTTCCCTGTCATCTGTTTAAAGATATCAGTCCATTCTATAATTATTATCCAAAAGCCTCCTTTTGTGTAAGTAATCATTTTATGACTTGTTATATTGAACCGACTCAAATAAGCAGATTCTATTTCAGAACACAGAAAAATTGTTGCCAGAAATTGTTACCACAAATCTTAACACTTCCTTGCATTATTAAAGGAAGATTGCTAACCAGGGCATACCAAATTGCACTTCTAATTCATACAGATTCAGTATAATTACATATACTGATTCAGTATGTGTCCCATGAATGAAAATCCATAGAAATTAGTTCTGATGCATGGGATAGACAGACTGGGATTGCCAAGAGATAATTCTCAATAATTGATCAAAGTGCAGCTTTATGCTCCTTTGGAAAATTCATGATAGCTCAAGAAATATCAGATATTTCTTCACGTCTATTTTTTTTAAGATACTGGAATGTTAATGGTGACTATCACTTCATATGACAAGTTCCCCAATTTATACTTCCATCATATTTGATTTTAATCCTTAGTTTTTTGTCACCTCATTGCTTACATCCTTAATGCTCCTGTCTCCATTTTCGCACAGCCCTGTAAGGTGGGTTGGGTTGGTAGGAAATGACAGGCCAAACATCACCCAACAGACTTGCATAGTAGTTCCCAGACTGCTTCCTAAAAATCTGATAAACCAGATGAGGCTCACTCCGCTCTCCATTGACACAATAGTAATTTCAGTATATGAAATTGAAAGTGGAGACACAAAAATAACGATTAAGAGAGGGAGGGAATTTCTACATTCAATGAGTATTTGGGAAAGTAATCATCCCATTATATTTTCCACCAGTCTGATAATATGTGAAAGGCAGCTAAACATCACTGACATACTATTTTTTAACAATCATACAAACAAAGACATCCAGTTCCTGACGTTTTCGGGCTTTGATTAGCTTCAAATTCTTCCACACGCTTTGGGTGTGGGGAAAGGCCTGGAGGCGAAGGAGACTAGTACTAACGCGAGGGACCTAAAAGAGGGAGAGAGAAGACACAAATGCTAACCGAGAATTTAACGGGGAAAATAAAGATAGAAATCTGCTGTCCATGACGGAACAGCTAGACACCAAAGGACTCCTTTCTCTCAGGACAGACTCCGCCGGGCCTGCATGTAGCTTACCTGGCTGTCGCTCTCGAAGGGGAGGGAGTCGTCTCGTTGGGGAGAAGCCGAACTGCATCGATTGTCTTCCGAATCGTTGGGGGTAGGCAAAGTAGTGCTAGCCGAGGCGGTGCTTCCATGAGGTTGATAATCTGGATAGGGGTTATTGAACGCCCTCTCCTCCATCTCCGCTTCACTTCCCAATTGCACCTTCAGTCGCTTGGACATGCCCTCTCCCATCTCAGCCTGCCCCCTGCCCTCCCACCGTCGAACGGCGAGCCAAGCAGGACAAACTCCCCAGCCAGCGATAATAACAGCAACGCGCCTTAGAGGTCGCAAAACGGCACTGCGATCGGCGCCTAGAAAGACAGCAGCTGTTGCATACCAGCCAAAAATTAAGGGGCGGGGGTTCGGCAGGTGGTGAAGTTATCTCCCAGAGAAGGTTGAGAAATCATCGCCTCACCGCGGAGAGAAAACCAAAGCGGGGTGAAAATCTAAAATCCTTAGCAATTAAGGATTTTAAGCAGTTAACGCCAGTCCTCGTCAGTCTGCAAGATGACAGGACCAATGTGAGACTATTGTTTGTCGTTTTCTCTTAATTCCAGTCTTAGATCCGCCAACTTTCCATGTGTGGGGGCGCATGTATAAATAATATTCGTTCCCACCCCATTCTCGGGTTAAGGGTCAGAGAAACAACACACCACCATCCCAATGATGGGGCAGTTTCCCGGAAATTTGGCAAGAAAATACAAGAGGACTAGCCCTCCTGCGGCACAACTGGAATGGGCAAACTGGGGAATCCTCTGGGGCTCGAGGGTATCCTCTAATTCCCCATTTCCTATGGATATCCTCCTGTCTCCCTCCTCCGAGACAGGTCAGGCCGTCACTGCTGTCGCTGCGGCACTTCTTAACAAGCTCCGAGGCTGCAATACTGAGCTCCTGCCTCTCCACAACTGAAAATGATACTCTCCAAAATCATTTTAGATCAAGATCATCAAGGGGCAAGAAAACCCAAAGAGTAGACAATAGATGAGCAACTCGTTATGCAGGGACATTCGAACCCTCTGATCTCCAGGGATCATCAGAAGGGAAGAGTGGAGACCCCCAAAAACCAAACCCACAGCCCTTTGAAGCTTTGGTACCCTTTTCTCTTGTTGGTTTTGTGTTTCTTTTATTCTGGCAAACAGGGATTCACAGTCCCCCAAGTGCAGGTAGAGCTCAATCCTTCTTCAGCTGATCAGATCAATATTAGTACAAATACAACAAATGAATGACTGGAAGGGGACAAGAAAATCATGGAGGTAGTGGAACAGTCACTGACGGTTATTGGCCTTCCAACAGCTTTTGTTTTTGTGGCTGTGAAGTCAGTATGTGTTTGCCTTGTAGTGCCAGTGAATAAACACCACAAAATCAATCGTAAATGCCTATAGACTCAGAAGGTGGGACGGCCTCAGCCAGTTTATTTCACAGCTGTCAAGAGTATACAGAAACAATCCTTCCTAACTGACACACATACAGTTCTATAGAACACATATTTGTTTCACAAAAGGATGTTGAAGGTAACAAAATGAGTTTTAAAATGCAATCCTACCTATTGACAGACTTACTCAATGTAAAGATACGTAAATTTTTTGCAAAAATAATTTCACTCCTTTAAAAAAAAGTAGAAGGGAGCCTTTGTCAAACTGTTGGAGTTCACCTGCCTGAGCAAGTGATTGGAGGAATTGTCTCTCAATAATTGGTTGAGGGTAAGAATATTGCTTCACACCCTCAGATTTCAGTTCAACTTTTATATTCTTATTTAATTTTGCATCCAAATTTCCAATATTTTTCTACCAGCACCTCTGCCACTGCAATCCCGCGTAACTCCTAATGTTGCTGTATTGAAGACAGTTTTTTTTCTAAATCTGTCAGCATAAATATCCAGATCTATCTCCATAGAGTATATAATAGTATATTATAAAAGGATCTCTGACTGGCAGCAGGTTTTAGGCAGAATTTTATTTATTTATGTATTTATTTATACTTTTTAACTGGAGATATTGGGGCTTAAATTTTGGTTCTGATTTGGCTATTACTATTAGGATCCTATTCAGATTCTTGTCAATCATTATATGAAACCACAAGCAACAATCATGGCCATTTAGAAACATCTGTTTAGCTGTCTCTGTCTGTCTGTCCTGATTTGGAAACAAAGAGAAAATATTCCAAAGCCTGTCTATGTATCTAAAAGTATAAAGTGTGGGAATGTTTGCAAGCAAGACAGATGACCCTTTTGTTGGTTATTTAGCCATCCATAGGGGAATTGAATGAAAAGCTTGTAAATAAGGAGAGCTGTAGAATTTGGTAGAACATTTAAGCAAAGCTGATTACTTTATAAGTAGCAGAACAGCAGCTTAAACTATAGAAGGAATTTTGTAATGTAGTAAATAATAATTTGCCTAATGAGCCTTATTGTCTAAATCTGTTTTGTAGTTAAACACAGTTGCTCTGCCAGATTAAATTGTGTTTACTACCTGGTTTGTTGCAATCAAAGCCTTTGGATCTTTGATGGAACCCTCTGTCCCAATCTTTTGTTCTTAGGAAAATGATTGGAATTGGGCGTGTTTTGTGTTTCAGCTTTATATTCTTACAAGGATCCCTGCTGTATATGTAATATAGGCTGCCTTGAACCATTAAGTATCTTCCATTAAAAATTCTGAAAAAATATTTTGCCATATCCCTGTCTAAAAATAATACCAAACTGGTGCTTCAGGATTAACCACTTTATTGATTTTTTTTAATTTATTTATTGGATTTTTGACTCTGACTTATGATTTAAAAGCTTGAGCTATGAGAGGATGACTCATCAAAATTAATGTTATAATTGATAATGATCTGACACCTGTCTCTCCCCGTTCTGAGTCTGTTCTCTGCCCAATATATCACATTCCAGTCAGATCTAGGTAATGATAAGATTACCAAAGAATTGCAAAATCTTGTATATTATGAGAACAATGCTATTTGTAGTAACTAGTCCACTTTTTGCAGTGTGGTTTTAATTGTTCATCATAATCCAGAATGAATATTCTGTCAAAAAGCCTAGTGATGCTTGAAAGCCTAATTAGCTCTCCCCATGCCAATTGGTGAAAGAAAAAAGAAACAATGCCATCAAATGTTGCTGTCATTGTCTTGGCTTGATGAATGTACACTTATAGGAAATAATAAAACTGAATCCTGTTTGATGAGTTTCAAATTATTTTTCATGTGTCATCAGTGATACATTTTCATTTTCTTGTTATCTGAACCATAATGCATTTCAGGTTCCTATCAGGAGTAATAGGCCTATTAATAATTTAATCCAATGAGGTTCTTAGATTTATCAACTATGCATGTTATAAATCATCTTTTTGAGCATTGTACTTTGGAAACTTGGATATCTGCAAACAATTAATTTTGGAACAGGACTAATATAAACATTGTTCTGTATCTGATGATGAAGATATGGCAAATAAAGACACAATTTTCTGCTATTTCACATCCTTACAGTAGGCGAGTATTAGAGGCTTTCCAGGTGCTGCATCAGATTTCTATTTCTATATCAGTCTATATCTGTAGAGGCTTAAATTCATGATTAACAAACACAAAATTATTCATCTCCACTTTAACTTAGGAACCTTTTTTTGCTTTAGTCTGTCTTTAGAGGTTTTTAGATAGAGGTGGTTAGATAATTGTAATCTAGGGATATGCTTTTTAACACTTGTGGTTTGTTACATTGAAAAAGGAGGACTTGTCTAACTGGGAAGTAACCAGTACTTCTCAGAAAGAAAATTACCTAGCTTCTTTATAAGAGGGTATAGTATTGTTGATTGATTTATATAATAAATTATATGGCTGCCCACCTAACATGCATGATTCTGGGTGACTAAAAGTTAAAAACCAAATAAAAACACAGCTCAAAATCAAAATCAAAACAACAGAAATAATATCAAATAACCCAGCAACCAAGAACACTCATGATATCCCATACTTAATAAACCATGACTGAGAATTGGGCCTTAGCTTAATGGCAGAATAATTGTTTTTAAAGTTCAATGATGATGATGATGAAGAAGAAGCCGTACCTTCAATTGTGTTCAGTTCTTGGCAATTGTAAGGACTAGTGCTCTCCACATTTTCCAAAACTGCTTCTTTCAATTGTTTTATGCTCGTGAAGTTTTATGCCTAAAAGAAAAGTTTAATTGTTGGTAACTATTGCTAGCATCTTCTCGCCTAGAGACTAAGTAGACTTTCCTAATATCAAAATCCATTCTGAATTTTCCACTGAAATTTCCTTGGCTGTCTTCCTCCAGCAAAGACAGTCTTGATTCTCTTGGACTTCTCAAAAGCTTTAAAAATCATTAAGACAGAATTTTTAAGCTCTGAATGTGACATTTTTTCTTACAAATTGGGTGTGGTGGATCATACACAGAGGGTAGCAGGGTACTGCTTATTTGCACTGCCATTCTGACCTGCAGTTATTGCTGATGCCTTGGATAAAAATGCCCCTTGGGGCTAAAAACACACCCTGCACATACTAGTCATTCAACAAATGAGTTTTTGTGCTCAATGTGTCTTTGAAACCAATCCTGTACCAAAAGGCATCATGCTTTTCTTAGACAAATCTTTGGAAGAAGGATGGAATTACAATGTTATAATGCTGTATAAGCAAACCAGCTTTGCATTTCCCAAGATAACATCAGGATTTGCTTCCTTCTCCTCCTTCTCCTCCTCCATCATCAGCATCTTCTTATGCTTTCTTAATAGGGGATTTATCTTATTAGTGTTAGTGCTACTGACCAATAAGCAGTATATCTTCCTTAATTCCTGAAATAAATGCTGACTGAAATTTTCCATTGAGTAAAACAACAGAGATATGTACAAAAAAAGCTGCTTTCAAGACATTATTTCAAAAAAAGATTTACTGGGCTTTCCCAAACAGCACAGTCTAGAGCTCCTCTTGTAATTAGTTGTACTCATTGGATATAGCATAGCATAGCATAGCATAGCATAGCATAGCATAGCATAGCATAGCATACTTTTATTGGCCAAGTGTGATTGGACACACAAGGAATTTGTCTTGGTGTAAATACTCTCAGTATACATAAAAGAAAAGATATATTCATCAGGAGTGGAGAATCATAAGGTGCAAAACAATCTTGATTCTTTTTAACTTCAGATTCTGAACAAATGTAAATTGATTTCCTTTTGTATGCTATAGTTTTCCTAGGATATCTATGTTAGGTGCCAAAATGATATTTTCTTTTCTCTTCTAAATGCATGAATTACACTGCAATTACATGACCCAAGGTTGGGCAAAGGTTTCTTTAGCTTGGCTCTCCCTGTTGATCAAACATTAGCTGTGAGTTCAGGAGGACCACAGAGTCATAGACCTATTCCTTCAGCAGGCATGTGAATCCATCCACAACTGGGACAAGAATTGATATTTTATCAGATAATTTATGAAGAAACAGCACCTCCAATTTACCAGAAATCTAGCCATCCAAAGTTGCTTTTAATTTAATAAATTAAATTAATTTATTGGCCACCTATTTTTCCACAGGATAATTCTGGGAGGCTAGACATTAATTTAAGCCTCAGCCTACTTTATTTTATCCAGATTCCCCAAAAGTCATTCTTCATGATGCATTGTAAAAATTAACTCTGAGATTCCAATTGCCCACTCTTGCTATACATTTTACCAATAAAAACTGACTCATCTTTTAATATTACTCTCAGGCTTTCTTACTGATCTCTGTTGATGACACAGAAATGCTGTGTATATGCTGTTTATAAAGAAAAAGAAGAATGCAAAGTTTATTCAGCAGAGTTTGTTCCTCCTTCACCAAAGCAGTCTTTCATACTCCTTAATGCAACTCATTTTAGCTGAATCTCAGGGCAAAGCTATTTCCTGTCTGATTGTTGTCAGCAAGAACAATATTAACTATCAAAATTTTAAGGAAAACTAACACCAAAGCCAATAGCAGCTGTAGCGTAAACAATACAAGCAGGGATGTGCTGCCAATTTATTAACATGGGGCTCTCCTATCAGAAGGCGATGGGGGAGGAAAGGCATGATGGTCCAGAAAAACCCAAGGCATTCTGTTTCACTTGCTTTCTCCTTCCAGTTGTTTGTCTAGAACTTCCAGTTGTTTGTCTAGAACTTAAGAGAAATTGATTGATAGCACTAGTTACAAAGCATGGACTTGCCCTGTCTTAAATCTTCTTCAAGGGCTCTCTCCATCCAACATCACTGACCTAGGATGAAATAGCAGTCTAGATACAAGCAGGTTTTCATTAGAACTAGCACTGTCAAAGTTTTTTGTGACCATATCCTTCCTTGGGACTCTTTTCCACTTTATTTCACCATCCTCCATAATTGTAGTGCTAAACTTTATTAAGCCATTTTTAAAGAAGGCCTTTGATAATCCCCTAAAATTTAACAGGGGGCTTCTGAAAACTGCCCAAAGCCTACAGTAGGTCTTGAATAAAAATCGTAACAAGAGAAATTTAGAAATATTATTCCTTTGCAGAACAGCAGGGCATATAAAATACAATGCGCAGGAACAGGATGTTCAATTCTATATACCTTTTATTCTGCCTGAATTCTCACTGAAATTTAATAGAAATACAACATGTAAGTTTTTCAGGGGATAATGGGATATTTGAACAAACCTGGCACTCAGTCTCCAGAACAACATACTTGCCTTAAGAATAAAAGTTATTGAACTCAGCCAGTTTTATTCTGAGGCAAAACATATAGAATCTTCTAAAATGTTCCTTTCTTTGTTTTCTAAGGAACCAATCTCTCCGGTCAAATTTTGTGTTCCAATGTCTAGAGGAATAAATACAGATGATGATTTTTCACTGATAGGGTCTATAAGGCAATTGCAGGGTCAGCATGGAATAGCAGCAAGAGATTTGGAATACCCCAATTTTGCTTGATTTCAAAAAGCTTTAAGACCTGGCTTTTCCAGGCAATACATCAGATATGGTTCCTGTATTATTTTATTTGCTTGAGACTGAAATTGCTTCCTGTGCAATTTTTTAGTTTTCCAAAAAAATGCTTTTTTTAATGCTGTTCCGAGTCATGCCTAAACAAACTGCTTTAACAAACAAAATAATAAATATGGACATAATCTATTTGTGATAATACATCCTTTTCCCGAGCTATATTGTATTTGTAAAAATGGCAACTAAGGAGATTGAATACTTGTAGCAAAATCTCTCACTCATCCATTAACTTATAAAAATTATCAACCGACAACTTTGTGACATGCATTATTCCTACTCCGTACATTATTTGGCTTGTACAAATGCTTTGGACATATTGAGGCCTAAGGGTTGAAGGGAAGTTGAGAAATGATGATAAGAGTCATGCAGAAATTGGATTAATAATCAAAATTAAAAGATACTATCAAAAATGTTGCACTAGAAAGTGAATAATTGCATCATGAAATTGCAAAGCTGGAAGGAATATGAAGGCTAAATAATGCCAGAAATGCATAAAATTGGTCTAGTTTTTCCTGGCTTTTTCAGTGGTGTCACTTGATTAAGTTACATGGAACTTTGGTGTGCTGTCCAGACAGTTTAGAGTTAATGGGATTTGGGATAGTTAGTTAGGAATTGTGAGCTGTCCCCTTAAGGGAATGCATCATGATAAATGTAGTTAAGGTATCCTGGGAAATGTAGTCCATGTCATGTGGTCACATCTGTAATCCTGATTGGTTACTGAATTGACCCTTGTTGGGTTGGAGGAGGCTCCCTTACTCTTGCCTGAATACAGCCTCATGGTGGCAGCTTTACCCTCTGCCTTTGCGACTATGGGATAGAAAGATTAATATCATTTACACTACGATTTCAATTATGCAAAGAATTGGACATTAGATGCATCTCGACATAACCATGAATCACTTTGAGGATACCTAATATAATCCAATAAAAGAAACTTTGTATGGAAGAATTTGTAGAGTCATTCTATCTGTCTTTATATTCAGCAAGTGAATCATAAGACAGAATATTTGGAGTCTTTTGATACTTATTTGGGAGTAGGTTCAGGGACTTTAATAGATCACCTAGTCCTATCATTTCATGTGTACTTAGGTTTTTTATTCATAAAGCCTTTTTAGTACAAGCAATGCAGACTAACAAAATAAAAAGAAGCAAAACCAAAAGTATGAAACAAAATGTGTCATGTACAATGTAGGAGAAGCTGACTATGTCTTCTTAGTAATGCCACTTACATCTTTGAGGATACAGTCAAAAGTCTTAGAGCTTTCAAAGGGCTACAAGGGTGGTATTTCTGATCCTGCAGTTCTTGTGTTGAGATTGCTTATTAACATCAGCTGAAAAAGTACAATTATCAACGAACAAACAATAAACTGTTTTTTATTTAATAGATTGACTGTTAAATTGAGGATGTATCAATTAAATCAAAGTTTACTACATATGCTATTTACATTAGATATTTAATTACAAGAATAAAAAACAAATGTCAGATAATATACATTAATTACTTTCAGGTTTAACAGAGGTTTCCCTCCATTTCCCTCACCCATTAAATTTTAGAATATGTATATGCAATACACACAGAGATCATACTGAAGGGTGTCATATAATATTCACTAAAATATAGTATATTTCATTGATTTGTTGAATGCTATCTTGTGGTGATTTATAGTATATTACAGGATATTCCTGCAGTTTTTCAATATAATAATTTATTATATGACTCTCCCAATTGAGAATTGAAATCCATCTATTTATCATTGAATTCATTCCACTAGTTTACATTACTTTTAAAGCATAGCAATTCTTTCCAGATGTAGAAAAAAGTGACCTGAACATCTTCTATATGCCTGAAAATAATGAAATTTTGGTTCTGAATTTTTTTACCATCATAAAGTGGCTGACAGATAGTAGGGTGTCCCCAGTGCCAGATTTTTTCTCTTGCAAGCTAACTAAAAGGTGATTGCCTAAACCTACATCTTTAAATAATACCAAGTAGAAAGAGGATTGTTTCATAGGCTTTATTGAGATATAAACATCCATGCTTTAAAAACAAATTACAGTTATTTTTGAAAACAAGGAATGTGAAATTTATAATTACAAAGTATTTTGCATTAAAAATATTTGTAGCATATGCCACTTCCACTTCCAGAATGGGCTATAAGAAAAAAGCACAAAATATTAAAATGGCCTTTTGTTTCTTTTTTACAAAGTGCTTCTTTTGAAAAGTGTTATAAAATGCATTTCTTTAGGTTTAATCTAATAGGGAATTACCAATACAGTACTGCCATTTCATAAAGCTATTTCTACTTTCTCTTTTCTGTATAGTAGTCTCTCTCTGTCTCTCTCCCAAATTCAGCATCTTTCATTGCCCATTAAGATTATGAAGAAAAGAACATTTACACTTATAATGCAGAGCATATAGAAAAATATCACATTTATTCTTTTCCTGGAAATTTAGGAATTGTAAAAAATTAAAGCAGACGAAGTTCAAATGTCCAGCATTTTATCAAACAATATTATTTAGAGAGACACAAATTCATTCACATAATACAGAACAGTGGAATTTTGTGGTATAGACACAGTGTCTGTCTGTCTGTCAACATGATCTCTCATTTTAATTCCTTCCTGCTGATGTCTCTGAATTGTTGTATTTTCAACACTGTGAAGATAATGTTCTGGAATAGCTGAAATATTAATGTATTCAAAAGTAACACATTGGAAATAAAAAAATTCTCCAGATTGTCTCAAATAAATGTCCTATCTTGTTTGTACGGTTATTGTTGATTATTGGAAAGGCAGCAGAAATAGGTCAAAGGTCAATAAATGCTATAAATAACTGTTATACTATTGTTACCCCAACATTTTAAAGGAGCAATTTCCATTAATTTTGCTGGAATATGATTCTATATGAATACATTGAGGCAATAATAACAATTCTCTTAATTTCTGTATCATTCTGCATGTTGACATAATTTCAAGTATCAAATTAAAAAAAACCAAATAAACAAAAGCAGACCTTTCAGTATCAATAATGCCAGAAGGCTGTCCTTTACCATACAACAAATGTAATTTGCTATATTACAATAAATTCCATATATTAAGATGGAAAAGAATTATACAAGTATTTTTCATCACTTGATATACACAGATTAACTCTAAAATATCAATATGAAATGTGGCATTTATTTGTATTATTTCTTAGTCTATTGCTCCAATTAATTGGATTACAATTCCTCAAATGATATACAAACTGCTTTCATAAATGATTGTATTTACAATGTTCAAGCTACTGATACGCATACTGTTTATTCCTGTATAACTGATATTATTCCTGCATAACGTCCACTTAGGACAGAAATGCAGGTCAGTGGTTTGAAAACTAAACAAACACTACAAATACTTTATAGACCTATTTTAATCTGCACATAAAGCTAATACATTTCAGTGATCTCACAGTAACTCCACAGGATCTTTTTGAATTCAATTTCTAATTCCTGGTGAAACACTGATGAGCTCTGGGCCAGAATATGCACCCCGTTCTTAGCTAGCAAATTAAATTGTTATACAGTAAATAGCTACCCACATATACCCCTACATGTTGTGTACAGAGTTTTCCTTAGTGAATCTGGTCACAGAAGTTGTCTTTCTTTTTCTAAATAGTGCATTACAGTGCTATTGATGTTGCCAAATGCTGATGATGTTGCCTAGTTGGGAAATCAAACATCTGCAAGCACAGAGAGCATCAAAGACTCTACAGTTCAACTACAGAGTCTATTGATATATTTTTTCATTAGAATTATATAAATTTTATCAAACGAATACAATTCCCTTTATCTTTATATAGTACAGTACTGTACTTTTAAAATTATCTTTATATATTGCCTTTTCTTTGGAAGAATGATATAGCTTATAGAATAATTCCTTCCTCTCATTTTCTCCAAGCAACTTTTGAACTAGTTTGAGCTAAAGGTTACCCAGGAAGCCTTTATGGCTAAAGATAGATTGGGTCTCTCTGGTAGCAGTCCAGCCTCTTAAACACTGTCAATAAAAATGGCTGTCATATTACCATTCTCCTGGACCCATATTAATACTGAACTTTCAATTGAAGTCTATCTTAAAAAGAGATGAGCAATTTTTGCCATTCACTGACTGATGTTGCTCTACACACTTCTGTATTTAAAGTAGAAGTCTAGTATGGTCATAGCCAATCACAATCTTACATTAATAATGAGAACTTATGAAAGTGGTGATACCTATTTTTCTATTTATGAATTTAAAACAAGAATGTCTTCTTATTTTAGTATCTTGACAATATCTTCAGTTCTAACATTCAAATATCCATTTTTATGTAAAAAGAAATATATATTTTAATATACAGTAGCTATATGATTGTTTTTTCTAAAAAGACTTATTTTAAAAGTCTGATACCAGATAAAAATTGGATTATAAGGAATATGAAAAGATAATATGAATCTTAAAAAGAAATATACTTAACAGCAACTGAAAATTCTACATCTACAGGGTTGTCCCTTTGTAGCATGATATATAGATCACACTATTGATACACAATTTAAACATGGCTGAGAAGAACAAAAAATAAAACCAATTCTCACCTTTTCTAACACATTTTCTCACAGAGAAATATAAATCATAGAAAATTAGAGCATGTTAATTACCATTGACATTGAAGAGGTAGGTAATAGTTCTTCTTTTATTAACCAAGTCCCCAAAATGAAATCATTGTTCAGAAATGTAAAATATTTTGCACTTAGAGTGGCTTCATACATAATCACGATTTACACAAATCTTTCGCTTGGGAATCAGTATCTATTTTCAAAGGAAAAAATCATTACTTGTAGCAATCCAAAGTGGTTTTACATTGTATACCTCCTGTTATATAAGCAAGATAAATTATTTACTTGACATCATGCATATAGAATGCATAAAAATGGTACAGAATTGTGGCTAATTCTTGCAAATTAGAGCAGGAAATATATATACAGCTCATTGCATGTATGTAGTACATATACCTTCTGGCAACTAAACAAGAATTAGCTCACACTATCATATTTCTCATAGTTACCTATAGCTGCAAAAGTTGGACTCTGAAAAAAACTGACCAGGAAGAAAATTGACTTGTTCATGATGTGGTGTTGGAGAAGGCTCTTGCACATTCCTTATACAGCAAATGTGACAAACAAGCAAATATTGGGTATATAAAACTAAACAGAGCTGGAATCATTTCGCCTTATATATTTTGGCGATGTCATACAATTAAACTCACTGGAAAAGGTAGTTAAGTTTGGAATCATTCGTAAAAGGAAATGAGGCCACTATAAAAACATGGTTGCTAGATATAATCAAAGCCAACACTGCCAGACCATAATACAAGTAAAAGAAGTCATACAATGTGGAGAGAGATGGTTCATAGAATTGATGAAAATTTGACACAATCAAACAGATAGCCTCCATCATCAGCATATATGCAGGCACAGTTAAGTCTGGAAAGGAATTTTGGTCTCTTCTATGCAATTAATATGTAAAATATTTCCAATACGTTCAGAATAAATTACTGGATTTGTTTTCTCCAATTCAGAGTTTCAAGATATATTTATAGTTTACACAGTCTTTAGTTTCCATTACCCAGAGCCAAGTTAATAACATTGTAAAGAATAGATATTCATAATGATTTGGTGCTTCATAGCGAACTATTTAGAACATCACCAATTTTTTGATGATACATTCATGTGTGTGATTTGGTTTTTCCCCACTATGTGATTATTTTTACCTTATATTTCCTGGGATATGAAATGCCACAATCCAACATAATAAATTATACCCAGGACTATTTTCACATGTATTTTACTAGCAGAATTTATAGTATCATTAAAAAGAGGAATAGTTATTGTTCAATGATTTTTCATTTGTAATTAAGGCAGGGATTCAGCATTATTTGAACAATATGGAAATTGTTATATAGTGGCTTTATATCAAAGTCATAAACTCAAACTAACAGGGATAACAGTATTAGACAGTATGCCACGGAGAGTCAATGGAACCATGCTTAGTCAAGCTACAATATTATGCATACTAGTACAGAAATAAATCTCACTAAATTTAATAGATCTTATTTTAAAATTAGGCCTTTACTGGATCACACTAGTAGATTGCAATCCTATATACTATTAGAGAGACAACTGTATTGAATTCAGTTGGACTTAGTTCTGAGTAAAATAGGTATAAGCACTGTATTAGAACATCAGTTTAATATATAATGATCAGGTTGGCCTGAAAATCATCCTACATTGATGGGATATTTTGGGAGAATAAGTTAATTTACCTGTTTAAATGAAGTTTCTGAATTATGCTTCATATGCAGATTAACTGATTTTATTTATCATGTAATGCTGAATCTTGGTACAGAAATATTTTGCCTCAATGCAATTATTTCGAAGATTAATATTTTCTCTACCAATAATTTCTGCATAATGATAAATGGATGTTCAGTCACAGCATAATTTTTTAAAGCTTTTGCAATAGATTTCCCCAAGACCCATCCTTAGTACATGCAGTTATGTATGTAATAATTCCCCGTGTGGAATTATATACACACACACACACACACACCATGTTCAAATGCAGCAAGGCAGTGAAGTGGAATGTTTTTATGTGCAAAACAAGAATCAATGTTTTCCATTTACAGATGTTTGTTCATTTTTCATATCTCTAAAAATCATGAAACTAAGATATAAGCACAAAACCTCACAGACAACAATGCTGCTCATTCCTACAGTGAGTATTACAGAAACACGTGACAGAGTACCTGATGATCATTCCTGACTGTCTTAACTTTTTGAATTTTATCAACATTCTTGAATTGAAACTTGCAGAACTTCCCAGCAGTAGTAGTGGCAGTGTATGTTGTATAAAGAATAAGCATTCTTTCTCCCAATGTAATCAAAGGTTATATTAAGCAGAATTTCCACATTTTAAAAAGTACTATTGTTATTGCAAATAAAATGATCTGAGTCTTTAAGTCCCCCCACTTACCCTGTGTTCCTCTCACTATGATCCATATTGCATAACCTTGTCACTTACTGTCATAAAGGCTTTTTAAAAGAAGTACTACAAATGACCTATAAAAGATATGGTATCAAAAGGGCTTAAGACGGATGCTTATTACAATAGTTAATATTCAGGAAAAGGTTGGGCTTGTATATAGCTTAAGAAAAAAACATTGCTTGCTGGTTGGTATTTCTTGGTTCTTTGTTGCATCTTTTGTAAACACAGAAATAAATGAAGTTCTAGGCAAACTTGCTGAAACAATACAGACACTTGGAAGATAAAAGTGTACTACAAAATGTAATTATGATTTTTAATCTAACCATAATCTGTTTCTATATAGCAAACAACTCTTTCATCTGTGTTTCTTTCCTGCATTGTTGAGACTATATAAAGTCTTTACCACGGTCACGCTGAGGCTTCAATGTATTCATTTTTTGGTACTGCTACCCTTAGGTATTCTGGATTCTCAGCTGGAGGAAGTTTAACAATGCCATTAGGCTTGTTGTCTCTGGGCATGAAGTCTTGCTGATAGTCTGGATTGTCCAGACTGATTTGGTAGTTGGCTGTCTGGTCCCAATAGGAAGAGCTATCATAAACTGTGTTAGCCGAAGGCGAGAGGCTTGTGTTGAGATATTCTGGGTTATCCAGTGCTGTGTTATGCAGCTTTTGATGATTTGAATCATTCATAGGCTTTGGATCAATGGGAAGGGAGAAAGTATTGTAGACTGGATTTTGTACCATAGAAGCAGATGCATTTGGGGTCACTTGCTGATTTACATATTCTGAAATGATTTTAGAAAGACAAAACATGTTAAGAACTGTATATATCACTCAACATTTTGCCTTTACTTAATTGCAAATAATATAAATGTTAATTTTTTATATAACTGTGGCATTGTTCATCAACTATTCAATTGATACAGCCTTCTGTAGACAGAAATCACAACTTATGCAATTAAAGCATTTTAAAAATCAAATTTATATATTACAAGCACCACAATCTGCAATTAATTTTATCCATCGGTAAAGATGCATCTTCTTTAAAATCAATGGAGCCTCCTTCACATAGCCTTGGCATCTGATGAGAGACTAGCAAAAGAAAAGCATTATAGCAGTGTTTGATGCAGCTGCACCTGGCAAGTCTATGAAAGGTTACTGAAGAAATAGTGCTCTGAGGAGTCACAACACATTTCCTAGTTGCAAAAATCTTCCCTTGGGATTTTATGAGTTTGTTTTTGAACTCTCATTTTTTCTGCTTCTCTAGTGCTTCTTCTGTGGCTCTATTTGTTCATATGAAACTTTATGTATAACATTCATTTTCAGGACTGTTGTTAATGAAGCCAGGACACATTTCAATATTAAACTTCCTATGAACAAATAGAATCCAGGTACAACATGGACAATTTATTATACAGATTGGAAGGGACAATTAGTAAAAATCTCAGGCAGATAGGACAGCAGTTAGGAAAACAAAAGTCTAAAAGACATTGAAAAACAAAATGAATAATATATTCAGGGGTGGGATTCAAAAATTCCAGCAACTGGTTCACTGCCCAGTTGCTGGATGGGTGTGGCCCTGGTGGGCATGGCCTACTGGAACTGGGGAGGGCTGTTTTTTGCCTTCCCAAGGGTCCAGAGGCTTCCCTCGGGCCTCTGAAAGCCTCCCAGAAAATAGAAACAGGCCTGTTTCCGGACTTGCAGTAATTCTGGAAGGTCCATTTTCCCCACTCCTAGAACCTCTGCACGGACCCTGCACTTACCTGCATTGAAAATGGGCTGCGTGGAAACTTCTGGGAGGGGCGGGGTGGGGTAGTCGGGGGCCAGCTAGTCAGTTCAAATACCAGTTCAGCAAACCAGATACAAATTTAACATCTGGTTCACCCGAACTGGTCTGAACCGGTAGAATTCCACCCCTGTACATTTTGTAACAAGGCTTCATGAAGTGCTGTGGGATAAAGATAACATAACAGTGCTGACTATAGGTGATCTTTCTTACATTAGCACTATTGCCCCAACATAAAGATGTATTTAAGAAATGTATTATTTTTCTTTTTAAAATAACATTTACTGGTGATTTTAATGCAATACTGGGAACAAATGACCAGATTCGGTTTGGTAAATTCAGTTATCATCAAAAAAATAGATTTATGTTTCCTCTCCTTATTCAATTTTCCTAAAGAGAAAATTGGAGATTGTGATTAACTCAAATCTCCAGGCAATGATTTATCACTGCTGAAATTATAAGTGGCTAAACAACTTATGCCCATTGGGTCATCATTTTGAGGTATTTCCTTACTTAAACAGAGCAACAGAATTACTATGGATGGGCAAAAAGCTATGGGAGTGACTTCCAACTTCTTCTGGCTTCCCTATTGGCAGGGAAAGGAGGGAACTGACAAGGAACATTGAAAACCAACCTTCCTTCCTTTCTTCCTTCCTTCCCTCCCTCCCTCCCCACCCATCTTTTAATTCCTTGCGGTTTTTCGGTTTTTCTGTTTACTTTACTTGTGGTAAGCTTGCAGGGAGAAAGTTAGTGAGAAAGCCAGCAGAAAATTGCAACTCCAAGGTCAGCGGGCAAGTATGTCTAGTGAGGGAAAAAGGCATTGAGAGAATAGCTGCAAAACTGTTGCAGAACATTTAAAATGAGCATCATGTGACAACAGTAGTAGCCCAGCAGTACTGAAACAGCCCTAACTTCCCCACATTTATTCTCTCTGCAATCATGGGTTCCAAATCTTGGACAGATTCTATAAGTTAGCTCATCTGAGGTACCTCATCTGAGGTACCTCATCTGAGGTAGTTCAAAAATTGTTCTAGCCAGGAATGAGAATTTTAGTAGTATACTAGAATACTTGTGCCCAATTAAAGGTTATAGGAATGAGAGTTTTAGTGGTATATAGATATTTAATAATCTGGAATGATAGACGTTTATTTACTTATTAAATTTATATGCCATCCAACTATCCAGAGTTTACCTTCATGGATCATATTGCTCTGATTTCAATGGAGTGCATCTTATCTATTATAATGTCTATTTGTAAAAAAAGAAATTCAAATTTGCCTGCCAATTTAAATATGCATCCCTCTTTAAATATACATTAAATGGCAAACTTTATGCCCAATATATTTATAAAAAATCTTATATATTGGGTTGTATTTTGTTCATATGTTGGCTGATGAGTAGATAGGTTTTAGAACACAAAGCTAGATTATGGATCATGATTTAATCATACATAACATCTAGTGGAAAATAATATTGCTAAAGCAAAACCTGGTTGTATGCTGTCCTTATTGATTTTAGGTTTGCATTTAGATATACATCTAGAATGTGGTACTAACTTAAAAATTATATTATAGACCGATGTTTGCTGAATTCAATATGCAAAAGTTTATGAAAATTCTAAATTAAAAATCTCAAGGAATGTAAAAAGGACATTACTCCAGAAAAATTCCTGTCCATGTTAGGCAGAGCTGTATCATGATATTCTTGCTATTTATGGTAATCTACTTAGCAATTATTTTGTGACTAAGTTAAATAACTTCATATATCCTCCAAAACACATTTATAAAACAATGAGGTCTGTTTATATGCAGAGCATATAGTGCTGTTAATATGTACCAGTTAGTTACTAACCAGCTTTGCATATTTTGGCTGATTATTGTACAGATAGATAGAATAGAATTCTTTATTGGCTAAGTGTGATTGGACACATGAGGAATTTGTCTTGGTGCAAATGTTCTCAGTATACATAAAAGAAAAGATACATTTGTCAAGAATCATAAGGTACAACATTTAATGATAGTCATAGGGTACAATATTGTACAGAAGAAGCATTGGGAAAAAATTATTCCAAAATATATTTGGCAAACAGTCAAGGGTGTCAAACTCAAGGCTCATAGGCCAGATCTGGTGCTTAGATGTGGCCCTCAGGGCCGGCCTGGAAACAGCAAAGGACTGGCTCACAGTGCCTCTGCCAGCAAAAATACAGGGGCTGGCAGAGGGCTGTTTTCACTGGCACAGGGCTGCAGGAGGCCATCGCAGCTGAAAAGGGGTGTGGGGGCCTCCTGAGCCCTCTGTCAGCAAAAATGGGGCTAACAGAGGGCCGTTTTTTCTGGAAAAGGGCTGAAGGAGGCCAAAATGAGCCATGGGAAGTATGCACAATCTCCTGGCTCCATTTTCTCTGCCAGAAGGCTATCAAAACAAACTAAAAAAGGGGCTTTTAGTTTTACATCGCAGCAGGACTGGATGAAGGAGTGGACCTCTGTAAACCTGCACCAAATCCTCCTCATTGGAGGGCCCCAGAGTGCTAAAGTCACCCTGTAGGCATGGCAAATAAAGGAGGTTGCAGAGAATGGCGACTGCAGGTTGCAGAGAATGGTGGCTCTCCAGCTGGACCCAAGGATTCCCTCCCATCCAATAACAAAAAGGAGAGGCAGCCATTATGGCTGCCATGAAGCTGGGGCAGCCAAAGAAACATGGAAAGTGCTGGAGCAGTGTAGAAGAACAGTGACTGGAACTGGGTGAGGTGATTTATTTATTTTTTGCTTAGAACCTAACTTCAAAGAAAATAAACCCTGGAAAAGAGACTCTTTGAAATGCTTGTCAAAGCGGCAATTAATTACAGAGAGAAAAACTACAGACCCAGGGAGGAAAAGGAACTAAAGGAAGAAGGCAAAATCCTTAAAATACAGAAAGATTGGATTTTTAAATTTTATTGGCAATATTTTGGTTAGGCATTTTAAAATTCTGGAATCACTTGCTTGAATACTGACTATTTGCAAAAAATGGAAATAAAGATTGGTCAGATTTTGTGCAATGTTGAAATCTAAGCTGAAGACGCCATCTCCTGGTGAATGAAATATATTCTAAACTCCTACAACCTTGGGAACTGCTGATAAAACAAGGATACAGAAGTGGAATTAAATAACACCTGGAGGTCTGCTGTGTTATTTACTGTGCTATATTTTTACTTTATGGCTATTGGAGGTTTAATTGTGAGATTATGAAAGACATTTAAAGCAAGTGATTTTTAAATATTAGGATCTATGACTGAACTTACAGAATGGACTTAAGGAGAGATTTGGAAATCTTCCTGGATCATTTAAATGGAACTAATTAACTAATTGTGGGATACAAAGAATTATAACCATTGCATCACCCTGAGGAGCAAAGGACTGAGCAAACGGTTTTTAAGCTGGCTCTCGGGGGTTATAGATAAGTGAGACTCTGGGGTGGTGGCAGACTACTGACAGGCTACTGAGCAATATTTGGAGCTATTAAAAGACAAGATGTTGCACCAGGGGGAGATGACTCAATTTCAAAAAGAAATGTATTTATGATACATTGACAAAGAATCACAGGGAGATAAAAGACTTAATGCAGGGCATTCTGGGGAAATCAGAACATGTTCAACAAGGGATAATAAATAAAGATCAGAAAACACAGGAAACAGAGGAAATAATAGAAAGACCAGAAAAAAAAAAACAGACCAGATAAAGCAACAAGACAAACCAGAATAGTGTTGTGGTTTGCTGGCAGCCTGTGCAGACAACAGCGGAATTGGAAAGTGGGGAAGAACGAGGACTAGTCCAGGAGTCTGGGGAGATGCAGAGATGGGTCTAGAACCATCTGGGAGTTGTGTGCTGACTCCGGAGCCTCCAGAGTCTGGCAGCAGCGAGGCAGAGGAACAAGGGGAGCCTGTTCCCAGTGCGTGTGTGTGAGAGCAGCTAAGAGAAAAGAGCAGCTAAGATAAAAGGAGTGACTTGGGAGGCTTGGAGGTGATTGCCCCTCCCCTAAGGTATATAGGAAATGCAAGGGTAGAGAAACCTTTACAGGAAGCAAAGTTGTTCGCTCTGTTCAGATTAAACATTGAAGCTCTGTGTGGACTTTGTACTTTGGTTGGTTTTTTACAGTTAATTTGGCACTTTAGTTGTTGGCAGCAATTCAAAGGAGATAAAGCTGGGTGCTTATCTCGAGGGATTGTTTGGAACACATTACGGGCTGGGAATGAACATAATTCCCAGCAATGAAATAAAATAAGAGCTGTTTGGACTAAGCATGTGCTTAGTTACGGTCTCAGGAAGCCTTCGTCAGAATATATAGAAGGAGAAGACAATAAAGACTTATAAACCCTAACCCAATACGCCCCCCCAGAGTGGTCCAGGAGGCCTTCCAGGCCTAAAATGGAGCCTCCAGAGTACTGCAGGAGGCCTTACAGGCCCAAAACAGCCCCACCCAGAGTGGTCCAGGAGACTTCCCAGGCCCAAAATGGCAGCCTCTGGAGTACTGCAGGAAGCTTCCAGGCTCAAAACGGAGCCTCTGGAGTGCTGCAGGAAACTTCCAGGCCTAAAAAGCCCCCCCCCCCAAGTGCTTCAGGAGACCTTCCAAGCCCAAATAGGGGCCTCCAGAGTGTTGCAATGAGGCCTTCCATGCCCAAAACAGGCTCCCAGAGTGGTCCAACAGAGCCTCTAGAGTGGTCCAGGAGGCCTTCTAGGCCCAAAATGGGGCCTCTGGAGAGGTCTAGGAGGCCTTTGAGGCCTAAAATCCCACCCCCCCAAGTGGTCCAGAAGGCCACCATTGACTCAGAAGGTTATAAAAGGGAGGAAAAGTAAAATATTTTACCTTTCAGGCTCTGCTACTTTAGCCTATGTCAACTATTTTGTAGTTCTAGTCTTCCTATGGAATCAGTTTCTTGATCTGGTCTCTCTCTCTCTCTCATAAGGTGATCAAGTAGATCAAGTATTTAAAAAAACAAAATCACAGAAATATATGCCTCCCTATTTTTATAAGTTTATAAAACCATGCCAGCGGAGATATACTCCTGTGTCTTGCCCACCATGGTCATGCCGCCACCGGGCCTCCAAGGTCAAACCCAATCCTGATGTGGTCCTCAATGAAATTGAGTTTGACATCTCTGTTCTAGCAGGACATTATTTGTACCAGCTGTTTTAAAAGTACTTGTAGCAAAAGAGTGAGCAAAATACCTATCTAGACCTAAATCATTAAATAATTACTGGGCATAAACTTTTGCTACAAATATGCTTGAAACTACCAAGTAATTTTCTAAGGATTATTTTCCAAATGGTGTGAAGTGTATCTAATGCTCATAAAACTGATATGATTAAAGCAGAAACCAGCATGTAGCTATGTTTATTTTACTTCTGGCTGAAAGTATTATTTCAAGTGAACCTAATCTCCTTGATCCTGGCTGATAATTTTAAATTGACTTAAGCAAGACAAATTATTTCAGGATTATGGGTTTTATAGGACATATTACTAATGTCAAATGTCAGTGTTGTTAGATATTGCAAGTGAAGCATAGGCTTCACTCAGGTCCAGTGTAGTGGTGGGAAAATGGAGAGCTGTGATTGAGCCCTCTGACAGCCCCTATAAAAGAGGGAGCTATCAGACAGCCTTTGTTGTCTTATTAAATAAAGAGCTGTTGTTCCTGAAGATCTGGCTCCTGTTTCTTCAATCTCCCACAACTTTACAAGTATCAAGCCTTAAATAAAGTATTATAGGAAGAGAAAAATAATTAGATTTTGCTGGCTCTACTTGGATATGTTTTTCAGTAGCCAATCACACTATTTCAGACCAGCCAAGAATTTAGACCAGCAAATATTCACTCCCACATTTAGGATACTATTAGCCTCAGGTAGTTTTAACTTACTTCTAACAACCATTCTTGAAGGTAAGTTCAGGAAAATCCCTTATATATAGTCCACTTTATATAGATTGCTATCTTTTGTAGCCCTCAGTAATTTTTTTGATTATTTAGTACAGTTGTTAGCCATCTCTGTGTTTGAATGTGGCTACATTGCTTTATTATTTGTAAAACCCATTATAACCAATCACATTATTTGTGGATAAATAAACACTATTGTTTATTTTTATCTGCATTTATTTTGTAAGTTTTAATATGTACCTTCTTCTAAATGAAATTTATGTGATTGACATAATAAACCTGTCTCATTTTTAAAGGTGCTTTATTTCTTTCCATGGGATCAAATTCAAAAACTTAATCTTCCTTTGATTAATGTTATCACAGAGGAACACATATGTTCAATAGAGTCTGTGTACTTACCTGGAGCAGGCAGAAAACCATCGTCCAGACTGTCATCTAGGAAAACTCCAGTTGGATCTGAACTGTATCTCTGGACAAAGCTGTCTTCTCTCACTGGATGGCCCTGTTAATTGTAATAAAGTTCAGATTAATAAGAAGATTCAGTATTGTTGACACAAAAAGGCATTCTAATTCCAAATAATGGCTTGCTTATTTATTTTATTCTAATGCATCTACGTATACACACACATACACATGTATGGTATTCAGCTTTGTTTGGGTATTTTCCCACGTCAATATACTTGTGCTTTTAAAGTTGTAGGAACGTTTTGGCAGAATCTCATCTGCCATCTTCAGGCTTGTGTATTGGGTTCGTCTGTGTGTCAGGCTTTTGCAGCCGTTTCTGTTTATTTATATGTATGTATGTATACACACACACACACACACACACACACACACACACACATACTGTGTGTGTGTGTGTATATATATATATATATATATATACATACATACATACATACATACATAC